TGACTCTAAAGGTTAATAATCTATTTTTATTTTACTTAAAATTTAAAGAAAAAATAATTAATTTGTTTTTTTAATTAAAAAACTAAATAAAATAAAAAACCTTTATTAGTTTATTATAATTTTAATTTTTTTTAGTATTAAGATAAAACCTTGCCTATATTTTTATTAATAATTCAAAATAATTATATAAATATATGCTATAGTTATAACTAATATTTACAATTAGAATTAATTATTAAATTGCTAACTATACAGCTATTACTATTTGTATAGTATAAATAAATTAAAAATTATATACAAGAATAAAAACTTTATTTTTAAATTTACTTAAAACTATACAAAGTTAATTTTCTAGTTATTATAATATAAAATAAAAAAAATAATCCAGCAAGCTAGATATATATAAAAATTTTTTTATATAGTTAATAATTTAAAAAAAATTTTTTTTGTATATTAATAAAGAAATTTAATTACTAGATATTACTGAATAGAAGTAACCAAAATGTTACAAAAAAATAAAAATTTATTTAAGTTAAAGTAAAGAAGTTGCTTTTATTCAAATACAATTTTATTAGTAAGACACAATAACTGTAGTTAAATTTTTAGCTCCAAAATCTGAAAGTTGTATTTATTTAAAAATTGCTTTTAATTAGTAATATACAATATATGTAAAAAAAATTTAATTTTAATTTTAAAAAAAGTGATCCAGCTGGTTATAAAAACCAATAAATTAATTTTGTATAGCCTAATACATAAAATTAATATTATTTAATAATTCTAAAATAATAAGATTTTATAGAATTTTATCAATAAAATTATATAAATTCTATAATTCTCAAAATTTTATTAATTAATTCTAATTTAATGTAGTATGTAATTGTAATTATTTTCATTTTTTAGATTCTTATTTGTAAATTCTTCTACATTTTAACTAAATCAAAAAAATTTATTTAAATAATAATCAAATAAGCTATACAAATTTTAGTTAAAAATAGTAATTATAAAAGTTAATATTTACTAAAAGTATATAACAACTTGTTTAATTATATATACCAAATTTGAAATCTTAAAAAAAGTAAAAATCCAAATAATACTAATTTGAAAAATTATATAAGTAATATAATAAAAATATATAAAATATTAAATAGTTAGAAATTAGTCTATTAGTTTTTTGCTAAATTTGTTATTAAAACTTGTGAAATTAATTAGTGTATATATTACTATTTTATAGTAATTTTAAAAAAATTTATTATAACTTTAAATTTTAATAAAAAAAATAGGAATAGACATATTACTAATATATAATAACTTAAAAGTAAATTGCTACCACCAAATAACTGAATAGTTTATAATTAATCGCAAGTATTTGTTTCAGTAAAGTTTGTATAAATAATAAAATATATATCCACACCTCATTAGTTCGTATGTGTATATTATGGAATGATATATCGTAATTATGTAAACATAGAATAGGATCGAACAGGTTTTATAGAACCTGGTTTCGATTGTTTCGATTTTGTTATTATTCAACCGCAGGGTTTTTAACACTAACTCACGGTTTAAACACTAACTCACATTAACTCTGCAAATATCGTCATACAAGCGACGTAATGATGCAAATGTTTAAATATTCATTGGCAAATTTGCATTATTCTATGACTTCATGTTTAATCCGATGATTTGTTATTTTATATAAACGTATAAATTCCATTTCAAAAATATTGTTCTTAATTCATCTTTTGCGATTTGTGTGATAAAATATTTTTTTGGATTGCTGCGCTTTACTAGTTTCATAGATTTCTATGAATATTAATCAGATTAATATAGTTCCTGCTAACGATGGTACGAACACAGAGCAGTATAGATAATTGTGTTAAAATCTTAAGTTTGTTTTCATCTTTGAAAATTATTTATTTACACAATGAATTTTAATATCTATTATTGTACCAAAGAAAGTGGAAAACCAAAACAAGAAGTGATTTCTCCAGGTCAAAATTGCATTTCAGTCTTTCCTGGGTCGTTAAGCCATAAATCTGCTGCGGATATAAGCTATGGCAATATTTCCGAAGTTAATCAAAAAAGTGGCGATGTTCCGATGTTTGGCACAGTAGTTGGTAAATTTTTCATTGTTCGTTGAAGTTATTATGACTTGATAACTAATTCCACCAAACCTTTTATTGCGAACAGAACTGGAGAAACAATCATTCACTTCAGATTCGCGAGTCAACAATAATCTAGCAAGAAATAACGGTACAGCTGACAAAAATTCAGTCATTCCCGGTGCCGATCCAGGTTGAGCATGACCTTATGCAAAGTGTTCGCTATTGTTTTTGTTTACTTTCATGAATAATAATAAATAACTTGCTAAAATATCAACGTTCACTGTTTTAATGTAGTGCTCAACTTTCTGATGCAATATTGGATGATGTCTTTCTAAATTGTGAAAATTAAAGGAATTGTTCCAGTCTAGAGAGATCGCATTTCATTAATTACGGGTAGAATTTGTTGTGATGACTTTTATTTACAAATTCTGTATAGCAAATTAGTGTATAATGTTAATGCTAAATATACATGTAAATTCCCTATTGGAATCAGGGTCTAAGCATTTTGACCAGCGTAAATAAATAAATAAATAAAAAATAATGTAAAATAAATCAAGTTCAAATGACCTTGTGTATATTGCGAATTCATTAAATAACTATGGTGTTTACTATTTCTAAAACAGAGGTATACCTAATAACTTGATAGATAAAATTAGATCTGTCTAAATACTATAATGCACTCTAATGCAGGTTTATTTAGTTATTAAGAATTTAGTATTTATGTCAATCATCAAGCAATCAAAGGGTTAAAACATTTATTCTTTATCATTTATAACTTGGATTTTACAAGCATGCGAATTTTGGGAGATTCAATATGTCTAAATAGAAGATAAATAAGTCACTTATTTATATTATCATATTATACCAGTATAATTATCACAATTTCCATGGTAATAAATATTACAATTGATGCTGAAATTTGGACTTATTTTTTAGATGAAAATTTAATTTTTTTGGCTAAGGTTTAAAATTAGTGATATTAATAAAAGACTTTCAAATAGGGATTCAAATTTCAGAAGCAGACGCAACAAAAATCCGAGGTTATCTTACATTATATATTGTCACAACAATGGGTTTAATTTAGAAAAAAGACACAATTATTGTGTTTTCATGAACTCAATAATATATGACGTTTTTTACGTCAATTAAAGATTATACAAAATATAATATTTATTATATAACATATAATGTGATATAAGCTCTCATTTTTCTCTGCTTAAAAGTTCACTACATGAAGAAGTATGTAAACGGTATAATTTTGAGTATTGAAATATATAAACCCTATGCATTACATGTGTCAAGAACTGTTTCAAATAACTCTAAAAATAATGATATGATAACTCAATTCTCGTTGCATATTTGAAGAGAAATATTGGGTTAAAATCTTGATCGATGAGTCTCGAATGAGTCCTTTTTTTTCGAGCATGTTTCCATATGCGCGAAAAATACGATAATGAAGTTCTGGATCGTCTTTACAATAATATGTAAAGGATTTTATATGATCTGATAGATTATTGCATTTTTTCAAAAAGTTTTCAATGATCTCATGATTTATTATCCAATGCATTTCAAAATTACGAGGTGTTGTTTGAAGAATGAGATCGCCAACATGTGGAAAGAACTCATCAGCACAATATACTCTGTTCCAAGCTTCAATAATCAATTCCTTTAAATGTTTCAACTTTGGTAAAAGATGAAGTAGATGTTCAAGGTCTTCTCGTCTATGGAAAGGAAAAATAAGGGTACTCAAATTTAGGCAGTATTGTCCTATTTCATTCAGAATATTAGGGTTTTTGCTATAATTGAATCGAAGTCTTAATTGATTTAAGAATTTGCCATGACATTCAAGTACTTTTTGCAAATAACTCGCGACAGTTTCGAACCGACTATCCTCATAACTCCACACATCGAGTGAAAGATGTTGTAGCATGGTCAAATTACAATTGACCAGTGGTTGTAACATTAATTTCATATCTTTAAGTTCATTCAAATGTGACTTAAGTGTGATGGATCTTAATTTAGAGCATTTTGTCATAAGAGACTCCATCAATGAACTTTGAGAAAATCTACAAGATGTAAACTGAATATCAGTGAGGGAATGAATTTGCGTTTGCAATGCTTCGATGATAGGTGATATGTCTTTATAGAAACAACTTAAGCAAATTTTTTGCAAATTAAGTTGATTTTTGATGAACTTTGGAAGACAATTTGTTGCAAAATTGGATTTAAAATATCCATTCATAACATTAAGATCAAGAGTTAAAACATTGTGACAAATTTTTGAGAGATTAAATAGTAAGTCATCATCTATGTATGGTCCTCGAATATTCAGAGTTTCCAGATGTGATAAAGATTTAGTAGCACCATGAAACGATGCCAGATTCTTTAGGAAAGTGCAATATGGTATAATGAGGTCACCTTTAAAAATATCATTGCTTATAAAAAGGCTAGTGATTTTGTTGGAACATCTTAATATGAGCTTGCATATTTCAATAACTAAATATATCGTTCTATTTTTCTTATAGTGATGTCCGTTTATGATAACTGGATTTTCACGATCATTTGTATAGTCACTAATTGTATTAACACCAAATTGATCAAGCCATTCATCAACAATTTCATGTAAGACATGAATGTCTAATTCTCTTAAAAATGATACGTAATTGAAATTAGATGATGGCTCAGAAGCAATGAATATATCTTTGTCCTTTAAAAACAGTCTTGATTCAGAATCGAGAAATGACATGAGAATAGGAACAATGTTATGAAGCCTTGGTGCAAAGTTGTTGTAATATGACTGACGCCATAAATAACGCACATTCATTCTAAAAGGTGTTCGCCACAATATAGGAATTCCAACTCTACACCAAAAACGATTTACTAATGACATGGACCATAGAGTTGCAATATCGTTATCGACTTGTTCGAAGACATTTCCTAATAATTCTGGTGATAATTGAGTTACCATAACTTTATAATAATTAGGTATTTAATCGATTAATTGTCAATGTTTAAAATATTTATTGTAAATAATAAATCAAGTTTACATGAAGCTTTTATATAAAGGTAAAATGAAAATAGGTACTTTTTTTTTTTAATGAACGAAAAATGGTTCCCCTCAAATTTTCATTGGTTCGCATCCGTGTTACAAATGATGGTTTGATGCATGAATATCCCTTTACGAGGAGAAAATTTGAATTTCCGCCAAATAAAATTATGTACTCCTTTTCTTTATAATTCTTATGTCCGTTCTTACATGTTATTTTATTAGTTTAGAGAAACTCTTAAAGACTATGAATTTCATGATATAAGAATAATCAACCATAATATTTAAACAATAAATTATAGATGTTGTTTTACGCGAAAGATCTTGATTTTCAAAAATGGTAAAACCTAATTTACATTACTTGCACATGAGGTCTAGCTAAAGATGATGGTGAAATTAAGCTAGAGTAATGAATTAACATCATTATTGGTGAAGTTGTTGTTGAATTGATGAAATTGGTAAAATTAATTTCACTAGCATCTTTAGATCTAACTATCGTGCGTGCAATAGAGAACTGGATTGGTATATCCACCTTCTTGCATGTCTAACCCATCTTTATATAAAAAATAGGTTAATGATCTGTAATAAGAAATAGTCACAAAACAATAATAAGTGAATAATGCTGCTGGTTAGTAACCAAATCTTACAAATCCATCGTAATTATCAACCGATATTTTTTTTCGCGTAGTTCACGTGATTATGTATTTTAAAAGAAGATTGAATAAAATTATCTTATTACTGATTATTTGAATATGTGGTCGAAGTTACATGTGACGAAAGATGTCACCGAAAGAACATAAATGTGTGATCAATCCATATTATATATAAATAAAATCATACCTAGCAGCGGGTACGTACATTATTTTACACCGTAAAATAAATTCACAAAGAAATACTACGTAGTGGTGATTTAACCGTTTAAGAATCAATTTTATAACCAAATTTAATTTAATTTAGTATTGCGTCTGTTTGTACATAATAATAGTGTATTCCAAAATTAGTTAGCTGATATAGGATTAGGGTCCAAATTTAACATGTAGCGGTAGGGGTTCAGACATTTAACCCGTGCTGTTACCACGGAGCTCTTACGTAAATGAAACTTACTGTACGTATGTATATGTGCATGTGTATTTTGACTGAAAGTTTTGGTTCAGGATCTAACTTTATATGGAAGTTAAAATAATGAAAATGATTGCGTAAGAACAATAACAACTAGTCTACTTATCGAAAACAGATAATACTAGAAATACAGTAAATTTGTAATAAAGTCAGGCAAACAATATATAATATGTATGCTGTGTAATAATCTACTAACGCAGTTTGACTCCAAAAGTTGAGTCTTTGTTAAAGTATCAGACTTGGAACTTCGGTTCACTGTACACGTACCTAGTATATTTAGAAAACGTTTATGCATACAAAGCATACATTTTTTTATGCTATATCTGAAGCCCCAAGTCTGACTATTCATTTTCGATAAATACTAAGAAAACGGGATTCGTTGGGTTCCGGAGTGCGTATTCTGGGAACAAATTTTAAAGCAATTAACTTATTTGCAAGATATTAATAAAAAGGTCGTTTAGTGTAAATGCATAACTATTGTATGTCCAATGAAAACATAAAAGGCTTTGACTTCGTAAATCAGTTCTTAAATGCAATTAAGCGCTACATATTAATATAATGTACGGGTATCGTGGTTAATTACTTAAAGGAATATTCCCTTACTTATAAGATCACAAGAAATTTAAATAATTAGTTCCCATTACATATAAAATTTTAATGCAGCTTTAACCCGTCTATAAAAAAGTACATAAGCTATAAGAAATTACAAACCGATTGAGAACAAATTATTAAAATTTATATGGTCATATTAAGTGCGAAATTAATTAAAAATTTGCTGTCTATAAGCTGTTCTTCAAGTATTTGTTCTTGCATCCTTGAGTTTTTTTTAATATGTTGAAGTCTCTTAAAAGTAAAATGATTAAATATTAGATCATTAATCGAATGAACCTGTAATACTGCTACGAATGAAAGACCAGCTGCAAACACTCTTCAAGATTTACTATAGCCTTAAGAAGAGTTAGATCTTGAGATTTGTGAACTGTGATTGCTCATGCCAGCATGAGCACATAATGAATTTCCCATCTCAAGTTCTTTTAATAGGAGCTATTGGTATGACTAGAATGCCTTCAAGCATAGTAATTGTGAAACTATTATAGTTATCAAACACAACTAGAGTTGAATTAGAAAGCGAAATTAATCCATAACCTTCATAATATAGAATATCAATACCTTTTTTTCATAACATTATTTACAAGTTCATTTGAAGTTCAAAGGTTTGTAGTTAGCATTACACATACTTCTTTCACAAATAATAGTTTAGTTTTCAAGTTTTTAGTAATATAAAATTTAGTTTTTGAAGTCTTATAATTATTATAATATATAGCACATATTTTTACAATTAGTTGGTTTAAGAATTGTAATTTTTTAAGATTAATCTTTTAATAATGTCCCATTTTGGTAAAATATAATATCATTAAAAGGTTTTTGGCATTAAAAAAGTTTTTGGTTTTTATATAACTAATTTTTTTAATATTATTTTTATTAGCATCTTTTAGTTTAAGATTGTAAATTTATTATTATAAATATATGACAAAAGAGATCTAAATTAATATTGTTCTTCTAAATTGCTAATTTGGCATTGTACAATACTAAGTTTATAAACTTTATTAAATTTAATATAGGTTATATATTTATTTTCAGATATAATTAACTCTCTCCATAGATTACTTATACCAAAACTACAAAAAGAACATTTGATTATTTCTCAACATTCTATTAAGTAAACCTTACTTGACCTCTTAAGTAACGTTGTCCAGCACACTTTTCTCCTTCTAGACGGCTGTGTTTTATTTCTTAATAAAA